AGGGTGAGATGGTGATAAAAAATTAAAACTCTTTTAAAAGAAAAACTTAAATATATTAAATATTGCGAATAATCGCATTGCATCGAGATACACATAAAAAACTTATCCTAAATCGAAAGACAACAAATTTTGACATGTAACAAAAATAATTTTCATTTAAAAGTAAAGGGTGTGACACCATCTCCCCCAACATAATACGGGTTAGATGGTGATGTGGGTAGGGGTCAGTTGGTGATACACCAATTTATGGAAGTCTTATTTTTTGGGAGCCGTTAGACGTCCACAGGGCTCACAAATATTCAAAAATGAGGTGCAGTCGTCGTGTAGCCAACGATTGCATATAATACATTGGATCCAGTCTACACTTTTTTTGGTTAACAAATAAGGTTCCTCACAACCGACGCACACTACTTCATTTTCATCACTGACCTAAAATATTCAAAGCATTTATTTACTAAACATAATAGAAGTTTTGTTTGTTAAGTGGATTCCAGAATATTTCTTACCTCTTCTTCATCATCCAAATGTATTTCTCCTTCAGTTTCGTCAGAACTTTCAGATTCATACTTTCTTCTTTTTAACGGCCTTTTCATTCGCAGTTTCTGGGATTTTTCTTTCCGTTCTTTTGTTTTCTGACCTTGTTCTTTTCTTAGTTTTAAAGACTGGATTGTATCAGTGGTGTTTAAAATGACGGCTATATTTCTTGACCTTTTTGTAATTTTTTTACGACTTCCATACTAGGGATTGGTGAAATTTGATCAAGCATTTTTCCTGGTTTTATTTGAGAATTGTTGTTTTCAGCGATTTCCCGATTAATTTCTGGCTGCTGAACAAAGCCTCCACTTCGTGGTGGAGTTCTTGGAAGATCCCATGTAGAACATCCTGGCTGTGGTGACACGCTTCTTTCTGGTGAAATCACTTCATCTATTTGGGCTGGTGCATTAGAATTCGCAATGTTTCTTGGTTCATTTTCATGAATATCATCGAGTTTTAAAAATGCATAGTCTGGAACGGCATGCGGGTTAAATGGAATAACTCCACAACTCCGAAATCCTGCTACTCCATTAGGTTGTGTAGCAGATTTTCCCCATGCTTCGTTCAGTAGAGAGCCAAAACATAGCCTATTGATTTTTATGGTGGGATTCATTCTCATATATATATATATATATATATATATATTACAAGCGTTGTAATAATGGGACTTCAATGCCTTAAAAAAGGAACGATCCAAAGGTTGTAGCCAATGAGTTGTATGGCTTGGTAGGCACAAAAGTATAATGTCGTTTGCCTGTGCAAACTCAAGAGTTTCGAATGAGCTACAGTGGGAACTGGGGATTAAAATTACTTTTCGATTAGATTTTCTTGGTAAAGAATGGTTTTTTAGCCATAAATAAAATATGTCATTATTGACGTATGCGGACTTCTGGGACATAAATATTGTGGATCCATTTGGCATCCCATTTTTGTACTCGGGTTTTTCATTTTTCCCTTTAAAAATACACGCTGGTGGAAGAAAAATCCCTTCACCGTTACAACAAGCGATCAATGATATGGTCTCTCCTTTTTCCCCAGAAGTAATATTTACTACAGATTTTGATCCTTTTACAGCCACAACACTGCCGGGTTTACTATTGAGTTGTAAACCCGTTTCGTCAACATTATAACAATTTCCAGGTTTGTCAAGTAAGTCATGTTCTATCAGCAAATCTTGCAATAGGTCAAACAAAGTATTTCATAACTGCTTCCTTGTTCATGTTTAGTGAACGATTTTCTTATGGTTAATTGAGGGTTTCGACGAAAAAATAGATGCAACCAGTCTAGTCCTGCCATGCAAGTTTGTCTATTGAAATTGTGTTTTATATGAAGCTGTTCCGCTAGTTTATATGCCATTATTCTGACTTCGTTTCTGGTCGGAGTAAACCCGTGACGCTGAAGTTTCGTAATATGCGACACCATCTTTTTTTCATTTTCAATTCCCAGAACAGAAGGGGGCCCTAGACCTTTTTTTTCCAAACAAGTACTAGAAATCCTTCTTTTCAGGGTCGACCAAGCAACACCATACGTTTTTGACGCCTTATAAATGGACATCTGCTGATTGTGTACTGCTTGAGCCGCATTTTTAAGATCTTCTTCCTCCCATTTCCCTCTTGAATGATTATTTTTAGGTTTGTATATAGTAGGCATCTTTTTCTGCAAAGATAAGACCAAATCAAAATATAATATATACTCACCATCTCCCCCAACAAAACCTAGCACCATCTATCCTATTTACAAAGGGGAGATGGTGAATAGTTTTATGGCAGAACGGAACGTTGCCGGAATTCATTTTTTAGGTTAGGATGTTCGTTTAGCTTTGTTGAACGAAGTACTAAGCGTTAAAACTCGCAAGAGCACCATCTAATAAAATGACCCGGTCCGCAAGTCACATACGAAAAAAAAATACCCCATTATAAAATACATCTTGTCATTTACTCACCGAAATTAACATTTATGCGGACAGCATTGCACACGTGGAACTTACACTAATTGAAATAATAGGCCGAGCGTACATGTGGCGCCAGCTCTTAAACGATACGAGAATTAAAGCCATTCACCGTCTAACCCAGTATCGCCAACTATCCCGGGTTTACCCTATTACTATTACTGTTAATCTTCGAAAGCTTCTACGGATACCGAAGAGTTGTGCTTTAGTAGAAATTTGGCTTAAACAAAATTCTAACTTCTTAAAATTGAGATTTAGCCAGCGTATCACAAAAAAATCCTCTATTCAAATAGACTTGCGGGGGGAATATTGTGAAGGGGGTCACGGAGATTTTCTTTCCCAGAATATCCGAGACAATCCAAGATTCAGGGGCAATTCAAGAGGGTTCTAGGTTCAGGGACAATTCAATGAAATCCGAGGCAATTCAAGGAGATCCGAAAATATCTAAGATTTTCCATCCCAGTGGAAAAGGATCCAAAACAATTCAAGGGGAAATTCTATCCCACCACCACGAAATCAAAGGCAATCCAACAAGATCCAAGGTAATCCAAGGAGATACGAGGTAAATCAAGAAGATTCGATGCAATTCAAGGAGATCGGAAGGTATCTAAGAAGATTTTTATCCCAGTGGGAGGAGGTTCAATCCAACTCAAGAAAAAAAATAAATTCCACTTGGATGAGATCTCGGGTAATCTTAGGAGAACCAAAGAAATCCAATGAGAACCAACATAATCCAAGGAGATTCCAGGCAATTCAATGCGATCCGAGGATACCTAAGATTTTCAATCGAATTCCAGGAAAAATTCTATTCTACTAGCACGAAATTCAAGGCAATCCAACGAGATTCAGGGTTCAGGGAAATTCTAGGGAATTCAAGGACATCCGAAGGTATCTAAGAAGATTTTCTATCCCAGTGGGATTAAATTTCTCCCACTAGGATGATACCTAAGCAAATTTAAGGAGATCCGAAGCAGTCCAAAGAGATCCAATATAATTGAAGGAATGAATGAATTCTGAAATTAGAGGCATTCCGGCCACCATAAGGAGCCAGTGCATAGGCTGCTTAAGCGGGCCCTTATGCACCCCTACAATCCTTAGATCACAAGCCTCACCGTTTTAGCGCAGTTGAGAATCGCCTTGAGTCCAAGCTTCTTGACGTCCTGAGGGTCTAAAGTAATGGACCCCAGTATAGTCTGCCTATAGTAGCTGAGAGCTTCACAGCGACACAAAACGTGGGCCGAGGTCTCTTCCTCTACCCCGCAGCGCTCACACAAGGGATCCTCAGCCAACCCCATCACGTGCAGGTGGCCAGACAACAGTCCCACCAGCAATCTTAGGTTAGCTCTGTCAAGAGATAAGCAGAAACGTCCATCCTTAGCACTGGGCCCTTCAATGAGTTCCCGTGCCTGGCGGAGATCTCTGGAGATACTTCTCCATTTCTGAGAGTCTTGTCTTGCAACCCACGTCTCCATTTTCCTCCTAGGTCTATGCGCCGTCACTCCGAAAGCTGGCTCAGGACCAACGAGCTTGCTGGTTGATCCTGTCTTCGCCAGAGTGTCCGCCGTCTCATTGCCCCTTATCCCAGCGTGCCCCGGTACCCACATTAACGGTACCGGATGCCTCGCTGCGAGGCAATCCAAAGCCTCTTTGCATTGAAATACAAGAATCGCAGTAATCTTACAGGCACTCAGTGCTTTCATTGCAGCCTGGCTGTCGGATAAGATTGTTATTCTTCTCCTAGGCCCACCCTACTCCAGAATGCGAGATACACAAGCCAGAATCGCAAAGATTGCCGCCTGGAAAATAGTGGTGTATCCACCGAGAGGCAGAGACAGCCTAGTTCTAGGCCCAAAGAGCCCAGCACCTGAGCCCTCTTCGGTAACCGAGCCGTCCGTGTACCAGACCTGCCCGCTCACCCCGGAGAGTCTGGGGCTACCGGCGTCCCACTTCTCCCTCGTTGGATACTCCACAATAAACTTGCGGTTGAAGCGATATTTAGGGATAATACGATCACCCCTGCTTAGAAGGACGGGGTCCTCCCTTTGCAATTCGACTAAGATGGCAGTATGCCCCTTGACAGGATTCAAGAAGGCCCATCTGCCCTGACTACACAGTCGATGAGCGACTACTCTCGCTTCACCGCGGAATATAATTGAATGATATTCATAATTTAAGGAAGTTCGAGGCAATCTATTGATTTATCAATAGATCTTAGGAGTTTACCCGATAGAGATATAAAATAATCCAGAGAACCCAAAAGTATCCTTTGTTCCAATGAAGTGTCAATAGTTTCATTAGACTACACATTGTTGATTGCCTATAATCAAAAAAACAGAGATAACGTATGGCCTAAAACTTTTTGCACAAAATGCATTGGCTTTAATATTAACAAACACAAAATAATATCAAGTTGCTTTTCGAAACAAGTTTGTTTACTTACTTTACGGTTAGTTAACAGTTATTTATTTTGAAGTTTTTCGCTTTAAGATCTCACATGAATTAGAAATAAGAAAAAGTATCTACAAGTTACCCAAAGCAGAGATCTGTCGAATATTCCAGAATGAAAACATTTCACGCAGAACCATTTATCGAACAATAGCGGAGTGGGAGCAAGGCATACCATGTCTGAATCTCCGAAAAAGTGTAAGTCCAGGTACAGTTACTGCACATAGGTCAGAGAAATTGGTGAGAAGTGCAAAAAATCACGTTGAAGTGTTAAAATAAATTTTTTCATTAAATAAAATCCGATAAATATTTTGTGCCAAAAATTTTAGGACATATGTTATTTACAAAAGAAGAATGGCATGGGCTGCATCAAAAGCAGATGCCTCACCCCTGTTTTGCAGTAAGGTCGAGGGTGGGGACAGGCCGGGTTCGGCAGCAGGAGTCATTCTTACGCAGTCCGTACACGGATTCCCTTAATAGTCGTGCTGGAAGTTTCCGCCCTTTCTGGCGGTAATTCGACGAGGCAACTCCGCCAAGTAGCATGTCGCGCTGAATACTTCTAAACTAAAAGTTGCCGGCAGTTGCTTGCCTGACTGCTGTTGGCGAACGATGCACTCCATGCTTGTACACTTATCATTCCTTAGACATACAAGCCATGAGCGCGCATTGGATGGCCACGCCGATGAAAACAAATAATAAATTCCTTTGATCTACGTTAATGTATACTACCATTTAAAAGTTTCCGGACGGATGACAATTGATTTTTAAAACTGAGAAAAGAAATGTTGGATGGATCATATAGAGGAATAATAATGGGTGATTTTTTTGCTAGTATCTTTTTGGCAACACTGTTTTTGACAGATGACTCGTGAATCGTGTCTTATGCCATTATGGGCCGGTGGCATCATCGGGCCGTACTTCTTCAAAGACGACAATGGCCGGAACGTAACTGTGAATGGCGAGCGCTACCGTGCGATGATAACAAACTTTTTTTTGCCCAAAATGGAAGAGCTGGACTTGGCTGACATGTGGTTTCGACAAGACGGTGCCACATGCCACACCGCACACGAAACAATGGCCCTATTGAGAGGCGAGTTCGGTGAACAGTTTATCTCACGTTTGGGGCCCGTCAATTGGCCGCCTAGATCGTGTGATTTAACGCCGTTGGACTATTTCTTGTGGGGTCATGTTAAGGCTAATGTCTACAGGGATAAACCAGC